TGGTCAAAGGTCAGCATTTGAGAACTTGTGAGAAATTCGAATTCTCAGACACTACCCCAGATCTACTGAGTCAGAAACTCAGGGTGGGGCCCGGCCCGCTGGTTTCAACAAGCCCTCCAGGTGACTCTGAGGCCTGATAAAATGTGAGAACTGCCGCTCTGACAGGGCTCCCAGTTGCTAGTCCATGATCTATATCAAAACCACCTGGGGAACATTAACAATTTAACCTCCAGAGATTTTTATTCATTAGATCTGGGGTGAGTCCCAGGTAACATGAACATATAAAATGCAAGACACCAGGTTAAATTTGAATTTCAGATGAACAGTGAATAATTTTTTTTAGTATAAGTATGTCCCAAATATGAAATTCATGAAATTCAAATTTAATTTAACTGCACATTCTATATTTTTATTTGCCAAATTTGGCAACCCTACCTACTTATAAGCTTCCAGCAGATTCAGCTAGGTTTGGCCTATATCCTCTACAATCCTTTAAATATTTAAAGATAGGGATTCTGATCATCTGTATATTCTTATTATTTCCTTATTCTACACATCATATTTTTGTTGCTATACCATAGGATAACATAGACTTTTGGCAGCCACATCATGATTGCATCTCTGACCATTGAAAACCTCTAAATCCTTCCTAAATATGCTGCCTCTAAACCAGCGGTTCTCAGCCTGTGGTCGCGACCCCTTTGGCGGTCGAACGACCCTTTCACAGGGGTCGCCTAAGGCCATCCTGCATATCAGATATTTACATTAGGATTCATAACAGTAGCAAAATTACAGTTATAAAGTAGTAACGAAAATAATTTTATGGTTGGGGGTCACAACATGAGGAACTGTATTTAAGGGCCAGAAGGTTGAGAACCACTGCATTTCTACCCATTCCAATTTTAGAAAGTTAGTTTGGGACCTAGCTCCAGAATGTGGCATTTTTCACTATCCTGTTTCACCTTCTTAGATTCCTTCCATTGCTCCAGTCTGTTGCGTCCTTTTAGATTCTGACTCTGAATTCATGAGCCTTCCCAGATTGTATCCTTGGTGAATTTGATTATCAGATTGTCAAAGTTCCCTCCAGTCAATGGTGAACATATTGGATCAATGGTGAGGACAGAGCCCTATGGTCCCCCATTAAATACCTCCATCTAATGTGACATTGACCTATTAAGTATCTCTTTTTTTTAATATATTTTATTGATTTTTTACAGAGAGGAAGGGAGAGGGATAGAGAGTTAGAAACATTGATGAGAGAGAAACATCGATCAGCTGCCTCCTGCACACCCCCTACTGGGGATGTGGCCGCAACCAAGGTACATGCTCTTGAGCGGAATCGAACCTGGGACCCTTCAGTCCGCAGGCCGATGCTCTATCCACTGAGCCAAACCGGTGAGGGCTTAAGTATCTCTCTTATATACAGGTCAATCTATCCACCAATTACAACCGTACAGACTATTAGTTCCCACTAGCACGATGTCTCTTTGCCTTATGACATCTCACAAGGATTTCATAAAAGATAACGTCAGTGCCTCACAGAAAGACCATGTGCCTGCAGTAGCTCCCTGGTTTGCTGGCCCAGCAACCCTAACATAGTGAGCAATGACCCCTGCCTCTTCTCTAGGGGTTAAAGGGTCATCCTTTTAATAACCGACCTCAGATGCCAGCCTGGCACCCTCCAACTCACCAGAAGTTGGTAGAATCCACCATCTGTCCTAGTGAAAATGCAGACTGCACCTGCCCCCTGTACCTTTGCACCCTGAAAGATCGCCCCAGAAGCCCAGCAATCTCGCCCAGACATTTTCCTAGTGCTGGGAAGAGAATTCCTCAGGGTCTGGAGATCTGACTCTGCTGTTCAGAACTGCCCCCATCAGCTCTCTTCCCCTGCCCGCAAGGAGCTGGGCCAAGCTCTAGGCTGGGGAGCCTTACTCGCATCAGAAGGTAAGCCTGCAGAGCAACATGGCTAAAAACCTGGCTTTCTACCCACACCTTCAATGTGCCTCCGGCATTGCCAGGCTCTGGGGAGGCTCTGAGGAGCTGTAATGAAGGGACGGTCCCCTCCCCTCAAAGGGCTCACAGTCTAGAACAGGGGTCAGATGAAAACAAGTTGAATCTCCGTATCTAAAGAGGTGAGGACAAAAGCAGTGGGAGTCAAGGAGGGAATGACTCATCCTTCCTCAGAAGTGGGGAAGGCTTCCCAGGGGAGGTGACATTTGGGCTGGGCCCTGAAGGATGAGTAGAAGTTCCCCAGATGGAGAAGAGGGGAGCAGGTATTCCAGCATAGGGTAACCACATGGGCAAAGGCACAAAGGAGTGAGAATGCTTGTCTGGGAACACATGACCAAGACTGAGGGGCTGGATGTTGGTTGCAGGATGAGGTGTATCAAGGAATGAAGCTGCAGGATAGCACAGGGCAAAACACCAAGGGGTCTTGCAGGCTGTACTGAGGGCAGTGCCAGGCATTCCTCCATCCCGCCTCCCGTTATAATTGTTTTCCATTTGTTCCATCCATATGCATTGAGTTCCACTTGCTCGGGCACTTTGCTGGCACTAGGAGCAGAAAACTAAACTGCCCCCAGCCTGGGAGAGCCAGGCCCGTGAACTCATAGTGACAACAGTGAGTGGCAAGAGCTCTGGGAGGGCGGCACCTTCCAGAGGGCTGAGGGAAGGCTTCCAGAAGGTGGTGATGCCTACGAGCAGTAACTTTAAGAACATGTAGGAGTCAGGGGAAGTGTCCCAGGGAAAGGGAGAGACAAGAAAGATGGAGAATCTGTTGGAAGGGGCTTGGAGGCTAGATCAAAAGGCAGGTTGTGTCACAACTTTCAGCCAAAGTGACAGGAGGTCACTAGAGGCTGTTAATCAGAGCATGACACCTGACTTGCTCCTGGACTGATCTCCCAGGTTGCTGATGCAGGATGGATGGAGAGGGCGGGCGGGGGGGGCGGGGGGGCAGGACACTCAGGCCGAAGTGGACCAGAGTGAGGGGCTTGGCTTGAGATGGCGATGGGAGGGAAGGAAGTGGATAAATATGAGCAATGTTGAAAAGAGAGGATGAGGGGCCAAACTTGATGATAGGTGAGCTGCAGTGGGCCAGGACAGTGGTGGTCTCCAAGCTCTATACATGCCCCTGGTTCAGGTGAGCAACATATGGAGGTGTCACCCATGAACTAAGCACAGTGGCCAAGGCAGGGGGGCGGGGAGCAGAGTTCCCAGAGCTCTGCATGGGGGCTGGAGAGTAGGTGATGCTTATGGATGCCCCAGGAGAAGCCTTGGTGGAGTGGGGAGCAGAGGTGGGATAGGGACAGGCAGGATGCCTACAGGGTTTGGGGTGGAGAGAGGTTAAAATAACATTTTCGGTCTGTAAACACCCAGAGCCCTCCTCTCCTGAAGAGTCTGGATGATGCTCCCAGACACAGGAGGGGTCAGAGGTTCAGAGAGGGGGAGTGATGTTCTCAGGGTCACTCAGCAAGGAGTGGAGGAGCCTGGCCTGGAACCCAGGGACTTGGGACTTAAGAGGATAGACATATAAAGGAGTTTATGTTCTCATAACCACGTTTACTCTGTCCCCTTTAGAGCTTCTATGCCTCTCACAGTCCCCCTCTCGCTTCTCTGCCTTCCAATCTCTGTGTCTCTGAATGTCCCCCATCCCCATCACACTGAGGCCAGTAAGGGGAGTGTGTGTTGGGGGTTGTGTTGCAGGGAAGGTCCATCCAGGATGTCCAGATATGCCCAGTCTCTTCTTCTCTCCCCACCTCCCTCCACTCTTCCCCTCCCTGGCATCCCACTCCCTGAGAAGGAGGCCTCCCTGTTGCTTAGCAACTAGCAGAGCCTTGGAGAAAGGAAATGGAAATAGCTCAGAAGGTGCCTCCCTCTGTTAAGATAGGTCCTTGGTGTGTATGTGTGTGTGTGTGCCCACGCAAATGCATGCATATGCCCTACCTTGGGCCTAGTGTGGATCCAGGACTTCTTACCTCCCAAGCCGTGCTGACTCCCATGTCACCCCGAGCCTGTAGGAGGATGTGGCTGCCTGGAAAGCTAATGTCAGTGCCACTTTTGGTCACATCCTCAGAAGCAGTGTTTCCAGAACAAAGGAGGGTTTTAATCTGGATCAGGCCTCCACCTGGCCTGCTGGTTTGGGAGCAGTTAGCCAAATCTAAGTGGGGACTGAACACTGCATCTGCGGTGGGAGTGCCTCGAAGCCTGGAGAAGGCTCTGTCTTCCCATCTCTGCAGGGCTGCCCTGGGAGGTGGGAGCACATGTGGTCTGTGATTCTCACCAGCCAGAGCCAGGGCAATGAGTGTTTTGGGGAGAAGGAGATTTAAACTGACCCTGAAGGAAAAACAAGAATAAAACTAACAAATTTTCCCAGGGACTAATTTGATTGCCTGGGGAGATGCAAGCAGGTGGGCAGGCAAAGGCTATCAGTGGTTCTCAACCTTCTGGCCCTTTAAATACAGTTCCTCATGTTGTGACCCAACCATAAAATTATTTTCGTTGCTACTTCATAACTGTCATGTTGCTACTGTTATGAATCGTAATGTAAATATCTGATATGCAGGATGGTTTTAGGCGACCCCTGTGAAAGGGTCGTTCGACCGCCAAAGGGGTCGCGACCCACAGGTTGAGAACCGCTGGCAGACAGGCCCAGGCATTGGTCCAAGGCAGAGAGGATTGCCCTGGTGGTTATAGGTCCCTGAAAATGATTCTATTCCAAGCCAAGGCCCTTTAGAAACGATCTATAGTCCCGCCTGCATTCACCCATCTTACAGTGTCCAATCCCCCCTCCCGCTCTGAGGTGTGACCCAAAGGTGCAGACTTGCTGTCCACCCCCCTCCGCAGTCTGAGGGGAAGCGGATTAGAGCCATGAGTGGGCCTTTAAATCTTCAGGATTAACCCGCGCGGAGAGGAGCTTAGCAGGTGGCCGAGAAGTGACCATCTCGCCTCGTGTCTGTGTCTGTCCCATAGGCCCGAGGCCAGCAGCTCCGGGGCCAGCCGCTATGTCCTCCACCGTGAACAACGGGGCGGCCAGCATGCCGTCCCCGCCCGATGCTGCGAACGGCTTCCCGCAGCCGGGCGCCTCCTCCGGGAACTGGCCGCGGACCGAGGAGGAGATGCGCGCCGCCGAGCCAGGGCTGGTAAAGCGCGCGCACCGCGAGATCCTGGACCACGAGCGCAAGCGGCGCGTGGAGCTCAAGTGCATGGAGCTGCAGGAGATGATGGAGGAGCAGGGGTGAGCGTGCAGGGCCAGCGGGCGGGGGCGGGGCGGGGTGGAGGGCGGAGCTAGGCAAGTGTCGGGGACCCTGGAGCCCAGTCAGGCAAGGGACCAAGGGAAGGGAGTCTGAAATAGTAGGAGTGGCACCATTGCAAACCCAACCGAACTTTTTATTCATTTACATGTTCATTCAGCCAATAAACTGTCATGAACACCCACTCTATGTCCAGCTCAGATTCACAGAGGCCAAGGAGACACAACTCATGCCTTTGAAAAACATCCAGTCCAGTCCAGTGGGGGAGAGAGGCTTGTAAACATGCCTCAGTTTCCCCTTCTATAAAACCGGCGGCTCGAGCGCCTACGCTGCCAAGCACGGGCTGCAGCCAGACAAGAAAGCACAATGGACCCTTACTATGTGCGAGGGCTTCCTGTGGCTTCAGCAAAGGAATGCTGTTGGCAGCCACATCTGGAAGCTTGGTTTCATCCTCTCTAGGTGAGAACCAGTCATGGGGCACATAAGTGTGCTGGGCACTGTGCTGAGCCATGCTGGGACCCAGAGTTGGATCGGAATTATTTCCTCAAAGTCTCTCCCCATCTCAAAAGGGAAACAAGCACGTTAACAACCAACTCCATCACAAACAGATTAGAATCATGGGACAGGACAGGACAGGAGAGGGCCAGGTGCTTCAGGAGCTCAGAGGAGAGGTTTTGAGAGGAGAAGACGTTCGAATGGGCCTTGAAGGATGAGTAGGAGTTTGTCCAGCTGAGAAGGAGGAGTTGTGAGGGACCTCCCTGGCAAGTCTAGTGAAGACAGCCCTCCACATGAGGCTGAAGACAAAAAAAGCAAAAAAACCTAGGAGCAAAGCCTACCCATTTGTGCAGCTCCAAGGAAAGCTGCTAGTCCCAAAGCTCCCTTTTGCATCTGTCCTGAGTACTTTGAAAGGAGTGAGCTGGCTGTGGAGAGAGACAGAGTTGGGAGCAGGGCCTGTCCATCAGATATGCACTATCAGTGAGCTGAGAAATCAGAAATGCCAGTGGGTGGGATTGGGCCTGGAGCCACATCGGGGCAGACAGCCTATATACAGCAGTCCTTCCAAACCATACTTCTGTCTGTCCATCCAGTCTTCTTGGACTCCTCAAGAGGCAGCAAGACACGGTTCACTGTCCCTGTGGAGCCCAGGAAGACACTGAGACTCAAACAGAGAGAACCACCAGTGGAAGGCCATCAGGAAGGCCATCGGAAAGGCAGACCCGGGTCCAGGGCCTCCTGCAGGGTTTATAAGGAAAAAACGTGGGCACAGGGCTTGGTGTTCACCTCCAGCTGGGGACCAGGTTGAGGGACGGGGGAGGTAGGGTCTCTTCAGAGAGTGATGGATGGAAGGCTACTGAAAACAGACCAAAAGGAGGCCTCTGCTGGCAGCTGAAAACAGGTTCCATGAGCTGTGGATGTGGGCAGAAGAAAGGAGATCCCCGGGGCAGGGTTGAGTAGGGAATAGGATGGCGTTTCCTTCTGCAGAGAGAGCCCCAGGACCTTAAACCTGCAAACCCTGCTGAGGGGAGAGGAGTGAAGGGAGCATGGCTGTGGGTAGGGAACAGAAGGGATGACTTCTTTCAGGGAACCCTAAGGCACATTCCTCAGGAAGCTCCTCTCCCTCCCCACCCCTCTTTCCCCTGGCTGAACCCCCTCCTCCTCCATGAGCCCAGCCCCTCGCTGCACTTGGGAGGACCTTTACCAGGGGAAGGCAGCCTTTGATGGAAGGGGGTGACATTTGGCCATGTCATTGCTGTCAGTCCCCAGGCATTAAGGACCTGTACCTCTCTGGGAAGCACCCACTACGTCTCCAGATGTTCAGTCAGGGCCCTTCCTCCCACCCAATCTTTACTGCAGGTGGTCCTTAGACTGGAGTCTCCCGCAAAGGTAGCTCTCCAGTCACCATCCCCCTCCCCTCCCATCTCTTAGTTGCAGCCTGGTGGGTGAAGGCCACAGCCACTCTGAAACCCAACAATCCAGGCTTTTAGCCCAAGCCTGTGACCTTGGGCAAGCCCCAATTACTTGCCTTCCAGAATTGTCCTGAGGGTCCTGTGGACTAAGGCATGACAGGGCTCCTCTGCCCCCAGTCAGTCCCCAGCAAGTGCTCCACAAACACTAGGGACCCTTGCCCTGTTACCAAAGCTAGTCATTAATATCCATTTCTAGAAACACTGGTTCATTCGCGTTTATTTACCAGGTTCTCAGGCATTTGACAAATATTCCCACTAGTCACAGGAACACGCATTCTTTGGCCTCATTAAAAAGCAATCCCTTCCTTAATATTGATGGATGGCCGGCTAATTCACTGGTGATTGATGCTGCATTTGGAAACACCTTCCAGGGTAGCCTCTGTGTGCAGCCTGCAATCACCATAGGGGTGGGGACAGAGCCCACAGCCTGTGCAATGTGATGTTCTCACCCCCACCACAAACATCCCCACCCACCCTACCGAGGTCCCTTCCTGTGAGGACACAATGGCAATGGTGGTGGTGGCAAGGTGGCCTAGTTGGGCGTGGAGCTTTGAGCCCTCCCCTCTCCCTTGTTCCGTTTCCTGTTATAACATGGGAATAGTGAGGCTATCCACCCCCTCAGAGCTACAGTGAAAATCAAATTAATGACAAAGAAAGGGATTATCTAGGAGCCCTAGGTCTGGGCAAGGACAGCAGAATGAAACATTTTCCACTCTGGGGAAATCTTGTAAAATACAGTGTCTCCTCATCCCACCCCAGGCCCAGAGGGCAACCCAGGAAGTCCCCAAAGCAGGAACAAATTTGGCATGTCCTTCCCATACCGTGGAGTGGGGACGAGGGACACAGACATTATTGACTTTTAGTCTGAGGGTTTGGCCAATGCTAGCCAGGCCTCCTGTGTGGCCTGAAGTTGGCAGAGGCTGCCACTTCCACAAAGAGTGAATGGTTTGGGTACCAGCCTCCCTTCCATGTCAGCCTTTGCCTCCTGGGAATGCAGAGTGAAGAGGTCCAGGTGGCTCCTGACCTGGGACCTTGCTGGTCTGGCAGGGGTCTGGAGTAGAAAACGGCGGAGAGCCTGGGATAGCTAGACCCTCTGTTCCCATCACTCTGGAACAAAAAATCCTCAATCACTATGATTTATTGAGCACCTACTATGTGATGGGCAAAGGACTGTACATGCATCATCTCTCTTAATCCTTATGATAACCTTGAAAGGCAGGTTACTATCTCATGTCACAGATGTAAGGGCTAAGGCTAAGAGAAGTGTATGAACTTGTCCAAGGTCACAAAGCTAGGCAATTGGGGGGGCGGGGAGGGGGTGCCAGGACTCAAAAATAGGACTGCCTGGCTCTCCTGCCTCACCCATTAATCACTGTCCCACATGGCCTCGGCTGAGAGGCTTGACCTCAAGAGATATGAGGAGAGAGGAGAATAGGAGATGATGGTCACACTCACACTTGAGACCTGTTTGCCCAATAACGGGGAGCAGCTGTCACAGTGGAGCAGTGAGAGAGGGTGAAGACTGACTCCAGGGTGTAGGAGTGAGGATAAGGAGTAGAGAATTCTGGCCTTTGATCCCTAGCCTGAGACCTGGCTCAGGGAGGAAGGGAGAAGGGAGGAGAAAAGTGAGAACTTCCTTCCATTCAAGGCACAGATTTCATCCACCCCACCCCACCACCCACACAGAGAGAGACAATGGATCTAGCACTGGGATCCCCAGCAAGCCACTTGGCAGCCTTGATCCTGCAGAGATGGGGATGCTCGAAGAACCTCCCAAGGTTATTGTGAGGATCAGATGTCCCTGAGGCTCGGAAAGCAGAAAAAAGCCATGGATTCTCACTTCTCCCTGAAATGTGTCCAGAGTGAATGTCGTCGGGATGTGGGAGGGGGGCCTGCCCTGGGGGTGGGTGAGGGCCAGGGGAAGAGCATAGCCTCACCTCGCTGGTCTGCCCACCTCTGGGAACAGATCTTCCTTTCGTTTATTTGTTTGCCTGGCTGGTTGTTTGTTTAGTTGGTTGGTTGGCTGCTTTGGTACAAAGTGGGCAGGCCTTGAGCTTCCTCGGCGGCGGCGTTGAAAGCCTTGCTTGTACAGATCATCCCAAGCTGGAAAGTGCTCTTTTGACACGGCTGGGGGAGGGGCAGGGGAGGACACAGGCAGGAAGAGAGCAGTCATCACCCTCCCTGCACCCCTGCAGGTACTCTGAGGAGGAAACCCGGCAGAAGGTCAGGACTTTCCGGCAGATGCTGATGGAGAAGGAGGGAATGCTCACGAGGGAGGACCGGCCTGGAGGCCACATGTGAGTGCCACCTGTGTGGGGGCAGGGGAAGGGAGGGTGCAGGCTCAGACAGCAGCTTCGTGCCAGAGGGGCCTTTCCAAATGCTCCTTCTGAGAGTTGGGGATCTGCAAGGAAGAGAAGAGAGACATGGACTCTGTTCACTGGAAGCTCCAGCCTGGCCCAGGCACAAGGCAGGGCACCAGGGCATCACTGGGACCTGCCCCTGCTCCCTGGGTTCTATCTATGGCCCAACAGTGGGAGAGGCAGCCCAGATCTCAGGTCAGGGAATCATAGGCTGCAAATCAGGAAACCTGATAAATGTTCTGACCCCAAGCACTGTCATAGGTTGACAGTGGGACCCCAAGGTAGTCCCTGTGCCCCAACTCTTACCACCCATACAATGGCCTCCAGAGTAAACATGTACTCTCGAAAGCAAGACTCAACACACCAAATGCCATTGTTAGCGTGGCCAAAGTCTTGTCAGAGAAAGAGAGCATGAGCTGGGGTGTGTGTGTGTGTGTGTGTGTGTGTGTGTGTGTGTGTGACATCTCTGCACCTGTCATAGGGCAGGAGACACCTGTCACAGGACTGGTGGGTTATAGGCCCCCAGGAGGGCTTTGGATAAACAGGGAAGTTATAGGGAGGTCAACTTTGTCTCATTTAGAGAAGAACTGGGGACCACTCAAAACTGTACAGAATGGAGCAGCCTGCCATGGGAGGCCTGCCCCAGTGTCCAGGCATGTCTGGGTGGCCAGATGCCTGGCAGGCAGTGTGCACTGGGTGTCACTGAATTCACTCTGATCGATCTTCCCCTTGCAAAGCCTCAGTGTCCCTGCCCGTTGTGGCATTCCCTGCTTCTTACCTCACTTAAACCTCCCCTCTCTGGCCTGGGTAGGAGTGAAAGCAGAGTCAGAGCAGCCTCAGGCTTGTGGGGGGTTCACAGGTGACGTGGGGAGCCAGGCCCAGTTGGCCTCTCCCTCTTCCTCTCTGGTGGGAATAGGTGATGCCACCACTAACTCCTTCTCTCCAGCCCCCCCAGAACTCCCAGCAGCCCTCAACAGCTCCTGTGCCTTCCCCCTCATGCCAGCCAGTTCCTTACAAAGCAAGGCAGCCCTTCTCTTCCTCTCTCAAACCTCCTGGTAAACCAGATCCTCCTGCTGCTGCCTGCACCACCTCCAAACCCAACAGGGCCTGGCTTTCGGACTGGTGTCCCCTCAAATCACCCAGGACTCCTCTGGAATTCATCCGCCCTTTCCCCTCCGATCCAGTGTGAGGGTGTGAGGCCTCCTCTGGACTCTACCTGCCACCTTCCCTGGGCCCTTCCAGCTCAGGCCTGCCCTTTTCCCTCCCCTGGGCTCTTTCCTGTTAATCTAGTTATTGTCCTTCCTCAATTCTGCTTTCTCCTCCAGCTACCAGCCCACATTTTTCTCTCCTTTCTCAATCAAAAATTTTTTAAATATATTTTTATTGATTTCAGAGAGGAAGGGAGGGAGAGAGAGATAGGAACATCAATGATAAGAGATAATTATTGATTGGTTGCCTCCTGCACACTCCCTACTGGGGATTGAGCCCGCAACCCAGCATGTCCCCTTCCCCAGAATCGAACCAGGGACCCTTTGGTCTGTAGGCTGACGCTCTATCCACTGAGCCAAACCAGCTAGGGCTTAATCAAATTTTTCTGGAGTGTGTGGCATGCTTTGTCTCCACTTCCTTAAGCCATGCAGATGTGGTGACTTGCTCAGGCTATGGCCTCTACCATGCTGTGGGCCTGACCTCTCTGGCAGTTGTGTTTCCACCATTATGCTTCCCCTTCTGAAAACCTACTTCCCCCCCTGGCTTCCACTGCGAATTCCTCTGATGGCTTCTGCTGTCTCCCTTATTCCTGCCCACTTCCTATAGGTTGGTGCCCCTCCCCACAAGGTTCTGTCACGTCCTCGGGTCTCTTCCTTCCTTCTGCCTTCCCTCTTCTCCTGGGGGAATCTTATCCCTTCTACAGCTGAACGCTCTCCTGTTAGTGGATGATTCCCAGGTCTTTTCCAGTAGTCTTGATCTTATCTTTCCTTAAGTGAACGAACAAGTGAATGATGCATTTAAGAACTGGGACGCACTGAGAAATATGCCATGGGAGTGTTGCAGTGTCTCCACCATCAAAAGAAATGTCCTTGAGGATCTGTGCTGCATGCCTAACTCTGAGCTAGTGCAATGAGGAGGGAGGAGAGGAAGGGGAAGACGTGCCTCCTGCTCTCTGGGTGGGAACACAAACCTGAAACCTGAAACCAGGAATTACTGGCAGCTCCTGACAATGTGGCCACTTGAACCTTTCAGCCCTGTGCATGTTCAGTTGGAAAACTGAGGGGGACAGGCTAGGGTTGTCAGTCAGGAAAGGGTCCTTGGAAGACTTGACAGTCAGGGAGAACTCCTGGTCTGGAGGCAGAAGACAATATAGACTTGGCAGGATCCTGGGACCCCGCTTCTTTTAGTTCAGGCAGCCAGTATGGTGTGAAAATATCACTCCAAAAAGTGACTATAGCCAACTAAGGATTGCTGATGGTGCGCCCTAGATAACTCAGGGGCTGTGAGGAGCTGTTTGTGGTGCTGAACCCAAGGCCGGAGGCACAGAGATGAGATTGGTCCTGTACGTGCCTTATTGTAGACCTTCAATTCTTAGCTCAGAGTGTGGGGCAGTGGAGGGAGAGTGCAGGCTCTGGTGTCAGACACTCCACCTGTCCAAACCTTTAAGTTCAATGTTAACCGCCTGGGCTATGGATTCCTGCTCCACCACACCCCAGCTGTGCGACTTGAACAGGTCCCTAACTTCTCTGGGCTTCCACCTCTTTACTTATAAAATGGAGACATTAGTACCTACCTCATAGGACTGTTGAGGAAATTAAATGAGACAATGAATGTAAATGTGAAGAATAGTCACTAGCACACAACAGACATGTATCACCAATAGATGACCAGCACCACTATCTTAGTCAGCTCAGGCTACTATACAAAAATACCAGAGATTGGGTGGCTTTGTTGTATAACAACAAAAACTTGTTTCTCACAGTTCTGGAGGCTGTACATCTGAGATCATGGTCAGGTTCAGGTGAGAAATGTGTTCTGGGTTGTAAACTGCGACCTTCTTATATCCTCACATGACAAAAAAGAAAGCTAGCTCTCTTGTCTCTTCTTTTTTTAAAAAAAAATATATATTTTATTGATTTTTTTACAGAGAGGAAGGGAGAGGGACAGAGAGTTAGAAACATCGATGGGAGAGAAACATCGATCAGCTGCCTCCTGCACACCCCCTACTGGGGATGTGCCCACAACCAAGGTACATGCCCTTGACCGGAATCGAACCTGGGACCCTTGAGTCCGCAGGCCGACGCTCTATCCACTGAGCCAAACCGGTTAGGGCTCTTGTCTCTTCTTATAGGGGCACTGGTCCCATTCATAAGCGCTCACCCTCATGACCCAATTACCTCCCAAAGGCCCTGCCTCCTAATACCATCACATTGGGATTACAGTTTCAACATATGAATTTGGAGGGGACACAACATTCAATCCATAACATCCACGATCCCCATGATCACAGGGAGGCCTGGCAATGGCGAGTGTTAGATTGATCTTAACTTATTCCCCTCTGCCTGAGTTTCTCCACCCTCTCTGCCAACTGTGAGATTCTCTCAGGGATTTATAAAGCCCTCTGACCACCCAGCAGTCCCCGTGCTCATGCCTTTGGCTTCCTGACCCTGATACCCCACACGCACTCATAGACGGGTAATTTGAGATGTGTAGAAATTCAATGCCCTTTCAGAGTAAGATGACAAAGAAGAGCCAGCTGAAGGGTTTCCACCTTGTGTGTGTGTGTGTGTGTGTGTGTGTGTGTGTGTGTCTGTCTGTCTGATTTTAACTGTCTACGAACTGTAAGAGCCCATGACAACTCCCACTCAGGAAAAGGTCTCAACAAAGACAGAGTCACTCCCAGAGCTTTTTATCCCCAGGGGTCATCAGTCTTCCTTAAGTTGATTGACTGGTTTGAGTGACAGTCTCTTGGGGCAGTCCCACCTCAACCAACACTCCACCTGTCTGCCCTCCATACTGGATACCAGAACATCACACTGCTGCAGTATCTGGGTGTGATCCCACAGATGGTGGGAGCCAGTGGAAGGTGTGATGTGGTCAGTCAGGTGCATGGAGACTTTACCCTTTGAAAGATGATCAGATGGATGAAAATGTGGAGAGAACAGTGGAGCAGCTGGGGGAGAGGTGATGGAGAGAAATAGTGAGGTCTCAGAGATCTGGAGACTTTTGTCTTTGGAAATGATTGGTGTGGGGAATCCTATTTTGCCCCCAAAACCTTCTGTAGGTTCCCCATCATCCATGCAATCAAGTCTGGACTCCCTGGCCTGGCATTCAAGGCCTCCACACACTAGACCCAGCCTGGTCTCCCACTCTCAGCATCACACAGCAGCCAGCGTGACCTTACTGGCAATTCTCAGCTATGCCCTGTATGTTCTCATTCCCATATCTTTTCTCATTCTGGGCCCTCAGCCTCAAACACCCTAGCCTTTTCTGCACAGACTCAAAACACCCCATCATCCAAGGCTGCCTCTAAAAATCACTTTGCCCATATTGCCAGGATAAAAGTAAAACCTTCTCTTCTTTGGAATGCATATGTTTTCTTTATTTCTTGGGGCTGCTGTCAGTTCTTTTTTTCTTTTTTTACTCTAATAGACAATGACAACTTTTAAGAATAATTGTTTTCATAGTTTTATAATACAACAAAATGTTTGGAATAGAGGGTTTATAGAGAACAAAATTCATAAGCTACTTTCTAACACAGTGAGAAAATCCATCTTTTCTTTCTGTGCATCTAATTTTAGATGGAGTGTGACCTCTCTGTGCCTCATTATTTTATCTGTAAATGGGAATATTAATGGTGGTACCCACATCAGAGGCTTGTTCTGAGCATTAAATGATTAAATACATGTAAAGTGCTTAGAATAGTACCTGGCACTTGCATTAGTAATTATAATATGCACAGTGTTATATTTTTGCCCGGCATTTTGAGAAGATAGAGGAGAGGCCTCGGGCCTGACTCATCTGTTTTCCTGCCGTCACTAAACCCCACAACCCCCCTCCCTCCAGGCCCCTGGCAGGCCTGGCACACTGGCTGAGTGAATGAACAGGAGCAGAGAGGGCAGAGCCTTTGCCTGGGATCTGCCCCTCTTCTGTCTGGACTCATTCATCTGTCAATTGGCCATTATGCTCCTGGATAATGGAAAACAGAACCAGTTAATTAGCAAAACTGCTGGCGGGAAGAAGGGCACGTGACAGGCGGTCTTTTCCCAGGTCAGAACCTTGCCCGTGGCAGCCCGTCCAGCATGTGTCCTGTGCAGTGCTGTGTTCATCCTCGATGTGTTCTTGGTCCCTCTGCAGTAGACTTTTTGGGCCTGCTTTGGTCAGTTACCTGGGCTTGATTTGTTCTGTCACAGGAAGGAATGCCTCCCCTGCCGATTTCATGGACGTGCTGAGAAGTAAACTAGACCACAAACAGGAACTTAAGAGTAGGAAATATTGCCGAAACCGGTTTGGCTCAGTGGATAGAGCATTGGCCTGCGGACTAAAAGGTCCCAGGTTCAATTCCGGTCAAGGGCATGTACCTGGGTTGTGGGCACATCCCCAGTAGGAGATGTGCAGGAGGCAGCTGATCGATGTTTCTAACTCTCTAACTCTCTCCCTTCCTCTCTGTAAAAAATCAATAAAATATATTTTAAAAAAAAGAGTAGGAAATGTTAAACAAATCTAGAGTTCAGTACACACCCCCTCAAATGTGTCTACAAAGTAGGGAGGGGACAGCTGAGCGAACACCTACAGCAGGGAAGCCCAGCCGCTAAGTCAAGGGCTATCCTGTTTGCACTTCTCAAAGCCAATTGCACAGGTGAACTTACATTCTTTACTCAAAGGTCCCAAAACCGTAGGGGATGTTCCTTAACCTCTCTGGGCCTCCGTTTTCTCATCTATAAAATGGGGGGAGGGACCATTTTTCTAAGTAGCTCTACATGGGATTTGTGAGCTGCAAAGAACTATTTAAACATTAGAAAATATTGTTGTTAGTGATACTGTCATCTAGGAAAGGCAGGATAGGAGAACCCTGGGAGATCTTCAAAGCAGATGTGGTGGTACCAGCCCCACAAAACTAGCAAAAGAGGCCTACTCCCATTGACATCCCTGGAACTCCCAGAACAGGTCTTACCAGAAGGTTCTGAGACCTTGTGCCTCCCCTGAGCCTGCTACTCATACCCTGTGCCTGCTCTCAAGTAAACCTCTCAGAAGGGACTGAAGAACGAGAGAGGCCAAATGACAAGGGCCTGGGGAGGGAGGATGGGGTAGAGGGGAGAGAGTTCTGACCCAGGACAGAGGAAGAAAGGGGGTGGCCAGCAGACTAAGGAGGGCACAGTGAGGGGTGGGGCTCAGTGAGGGCCTTCACTCAGTGGCTCACTCAGCTAGGATGTTAGGAGGCAAGAAGGGCTCTCTGCAGAAGGCAGCGCCCAAACTGAGCTATTTTATTTTGTCAATAGCCGTCCTCATGTTTGTGTCCAGATAAGCGGAAGCCCCCTCTCTCACTGGCTCCAAACAAGGTTGGAATGCCCTTACGTTTTGCTAAAGACTATCTTTTATGTGTCAGGCATTTGTGTGGCTGAGGGCTGTGGGGGGTGAGTTGGGGATTTCAGGGACAGGGACAGGAGGTGGGAGGCCACTGGCTTTGGGAGAGGAGCGTGGGGAGAGCACAGAGGTTTGAGTGAAGGGATGTGGGGGTGTTTGACTCTGTGGGGGTGGGGGGAATGACATGAGCCTCTCCCCCATCACTCCAGAAAAGCCTCCTGTACTACCTGGATGACTTCAAGGCTGCCAGGGTCACGTTAGGGAACCGAATGGCATCACTGAGATTCTAGATTAGCAGATTGCTGGAGATTTGTTTCTGAAGATTCTTTTTCCTCTGTCACTGTGGTCTGCCTTTCTTGTCCTGTATCTCTTTCATGTGTCACAACTGCTTTTCTCCCTGCAAGAGGAGGTGTTGGTATGTGAGTGTCAGACTGAGCTCCCCATCTAACAGTGGTGACCATGTCGGGGGGAGCAGTGGGGGGACAACGGGACAACAGGAGCTTCAAAGACAGAATCTCACTTAATCCTCTGCTCAAAGCTGGGATATTCTTTCCTCATTGGATAGATAAGGGCCTTGAGGCTCAGTGAGCTTGGTCATGCCTGGATTCAGACCTGTCTGTGTGAATCCAAAGCTCATGTCATGTTTTTAACACTCTGCCATCCAAGTCCTGGCCTCTCTCTCTCTCAGGGCAGGGGAAGAATGAGCCAAGTGAATGGAATCCAGCCAGGTGAGAGCTGGATTAGGGGTGCAATGAGGGAGGGTAACTGAGCCTCCATGCAGAAGGGGCATTGTCTGAGCCAGTATGGAATGAAAAATAGTGGGGGTTGGGGGGGGCACCACCCTGGAACCGGTACCCTGGAGCTGGGCTTTTAGAGGGTGGCTTCTGGGCGTGTTTACTAAAAGGCAAAGTTGCAAAGCACCGGTTACCTCAGCGAATTCTCCCAAAGCCCGATAACACAGTTATCACTCTCATCTTGGAGAAGAGGTTCAGAGAGGGGGCAGACAGGCACCAGGCCATACAATGACTTAGGGACCGTGTGTGATGATGGCACAACTGCAGCTTCAAAACTCATGCGCTTGCCTTAAGTCCAGCTGCCTTTTGGAAAAAAGCGTCATTCTCTGACATGCCCGCAGGGTGCAAACATCTGGCTGACGGCTGGGCTCCTGAACCAAGAGCAGGGCCAGGACCACCAGGGGCCCTGCTGGGTGTAGGGGAGAGCTCTGCAAGATGGATGGGGAGCATTCGAGGCGGAGTGCTGCCGCCAGGCAGTGATTGATGACAGCTCGGCAGCAGAAGAGCAAGGCGGCCTCCGGAGCCTGGAGGCTGCGGAGAGGAGGGCGAGGGGAAGCTATGATTATTTTAGAGAGGCAGCCAGGGCTGGAGGAAGGAGGGGTTGGGGGAGGGAGGCAGTCGGGTGGGCAGGGGGAGGCAGCTCAGGGACTGGGACAGCGGGGTTAAGGAAAACCTTATCAGTGAGGGGGGCTCAGTGAGGGAAAAGGAAGGCTGGAGAGGATGAGCGGGCTTAGAGAGGGGAGAGGGGCTGGAGAATGGGGCAGTGAGGGTAAAGGGGACAGGGATCCGTGAAAGGGGCTCAGTGAGGGGAAAGAGGGCTGGATTGGGGGTGCAATGATCGGGACTAAGGGACAGAGTCTGTGCGGGAAGGGGACTCAATAGGGGAGGGCCTCACTCAGGAGGAGGGGGCTCATTGATGAGAGAGGGAGAGACTTGTAGAGGGAACTTAGACGGGGAGGGCTCCCTGCTCTTTTCTTTCTCTTTTTGCAAAATATGGCACC